AGTTCCACGTATAGATAGATGGATGAGTTATCAGTTAGACCGTTCATGTGTACTCCAAGAGTTGAAAAGGACCTTGATTAAGAACTGAGATAGAGAGACTTTTGGATAGATAGACTGGATAGATAGATAGATTTATTTATAGAAACAGACCGAGAGAGTTCAAACCTGAGATAATAGATAGATAGAAACAGAGAACATTGATATGAAGAGGATAATAGATTAGATAATCATTAGACATAGGCATTGATAGATAGAAGATAGATAATAGATAGATAGATAGATAGTGAGCGAAATAAAGAATTCAGTTCGACATTCCAACCACTTGAAGAAAGCCGGAGATAGATACAACGGATGAAACGTTGTAATAAATATGGCGACAAAGATGAGGACAATAGTCCAAATAATGTAAATAATGTTAAAATATGTTTGCGTCCTGTACGCCGAAATAAAAGAAAAAAAAAGGAACGAAAAACCTAATGGTCTCACACACAACTGATATAACGTAAAGGGGTTACCAATTCTAATGTAATTTTTAAAATAAGTAAATTCATTATATACCTGGGTTTTTCATATATTTATATATAGAGTAGGAGTAGATAGATCTGTCTGTCATCCGGTTCACACTTTTCCCCGGTCTTTGAAACAGGAGTAAAGTTTTATCCTTTGTTCCCTGTTTAATATTGGGTTTCCGCTTCCTTCTAAAGTCTTTTTATTCTTTTCCACTCCCAGTAAAACCTTGCGTCTTAGTGACATTGTCGCCTTGCTTGGTGAATAGATTAAAAAAAAAACTCTGAAAATGAGAGAAATATATATAATGTGTGATTAGCAGTACTGTGTGGGGGGTGCGATACGTCATGTCGTTTGGTTGAGTCGGTTAGCCCAGAGACTAAGTCTCCTCAGTCGGGAAACGAGACACGTCTTTTCAGTTGTTTCCTTTTATACTGTTTCATACAACGCCACTTAGCGAGATTAAGTGAAGTTTCTGACAGATAAAGTGGAGTAATCCCACATTGGCTGTTATAGTCGACGGCCAAACCTCTCGATGTTTCTATTAACAAACACTTCAAATCTTTAATGAGAGGGGAATGGAACAGTTGGATGCAGCAGGAGGATGATGGAAAACCTTGATCTGGTGTAAATGCGACTGCAGTCCGTGGGAACATAATAACTGGCATAGGGATTAAGTCATTTAAGGTGTGTTGTATCAGTAACGCAATGATGGCATTATCTTTTATCGTAACATTGGTTCTAATGATGAAAGTGATAAAGAAAAAAACGATGATTTTCCAGGTTTTGAACCAAACTCAGTCATGTGCCATACGTGATAACACGCTTAGGCGAACATGTATCTTTCGATACATGACTGACGAGACATTAGGTTGCCATTTCTTTCAAAGATATATAACCCGGTCTGTCCTGCTACTCATAAGAAGATTCATACATTTCCCAAGAGTATGCAAGCGAATGTGATGGATTCGAGTGGAATTCGAACTCGGCTCTCCGATTCTTCAACACGAGCCACTGTGCATTACTCCACCGTGCCTATAACAATAACCCTTTTTGACTTGTGGAATTTTCTTATGAAATATGACCCTTTCGATCGTGGACGATCATGGCTCTCCACATCTTTCTATCCTTTGTAATGATGAGCAATGTTTGCCTTTTTATTATCCTTCCCATTTCCTTTTTTGCTATCCACGAGCTTCTTAGATAGGTTACTGGCGCTTATCTTCTGTCTCTCCTATTTACAATATGTCCAGTGAGAGTCAAATTCGCCATGCCTTCTTTCACAGAAATTTCAATTGTTTCTTTCTGACTCTAATAAAAATAACATTTTTTCTCATTTTCCAAAATATTTCGTCTTTGTTCATATGCTCCATCCATGATATTCTTGTTGCCTCAAAATTGTCATGGTTCTCTCAGCATCTCTATTGCCTCAAAAATGCCATGGTTATCTCAGCATCTCTATTGCATCAAAATTGCCATGGCTATCTCAGCATGTCTATTGCCTCAAAATTGCCATGGTTATCTCAGCATCTCTATTGCCTCAAAATTGCCATAGTTGTCTCAGCATCTCTATTGCCTCAAAATTACCATGGTTGTCTCAGCATCTCTATTGCCTCAAAATCGCCATGGTTATCTCAGCATGTCTATTGCCTCAAAATTGTCATAGTTATCTCAGCATCTCTATTGCTTCAAAATTGCCATGGTCGTCTCAGCATCTCTATTGCCTCAAAATTACTATGGTTATCTCAGCATGTCTATTGCCTCAAAATTGCCATGGTTATCTCAGCATCTCTATTGCCTCAAAATTGCCATGGTTATCTCAGCATCTCTATTGCCTCAAAATTACTATGGTTATCTCAGCATCTCTATTGCCTCAAAAAATGGTTATCTCAGCATCTCTATTGCCTCAAAATTACCATGGTTATCTCAGCATCTCTATTGCCTCAAAATTGCCATGGTTATCTCAGCATCTCTATTGCCTCAAAAATTGCCATGGTTATCTCAGCATCTCTATTGCCTCAAAATTACTGGGTTATCTCAGCATTTCTATTGCCTCAAAATTGCCATGGTTATCTCAGCATCTCTATTGCCTCAAAATTGCCATGGTTATCTCAGCATCTCTATTGCCTCAAAATTACTATGGTTATCTCAGCATCTCTATTGCCTCAAAATTGCCATGGTTATCTCAGCATCTCTATTGCCTCAAAATTACTATGGTTATCTCAGCATCTCTATTGCCTCAAAATTGCCATGGTTATCTCAGCATCTCTATTGCCTCAAAATTGCCATGGTTATCTCAGCATCTCTATTGCCTCAAAATCGCCATGGTTATCTCAGCATGTCTATTGCCTCAAAATTGTCATAGTTATCTCAGCATCTCTATTGCTTCAAAATTGCCATTGTCGTCTCAGCATCTCTATTGCCTCAAAATTACTATGGTTATCTCAGCATCTCTATTGTCTCAAAATTGCCATGGTTATCTCAGCATCTCTATTGCCTCAAAATTGCCATGGTTATCTTAGCATCTCTATTGCCTCAAAATTGCCATGGTTATCTCAGCATCTCTCTATTGCCTCAAAATTACTATGGTTATCTCAGCATCTCTATTGCCTCAAAATTGCCATGGTTATCTCAGCATCTCTATTGCCTCAAAAATTGCCATGGTTATCTCAGCATCTCTATTGCCTCAAAATTACTATGGTTATCTCAGCATCTCTATTGCCTCAAAATTGCCATGGTTATCTCAGCATCTCTATTGCCTCAAAATTACCATGGTTATCTCAGCATCTCTATTGCCTCAAAATTGCCATGGTTATCTCAGCATCTCTATTGCCTCAAAATTGCCATGGTTATCTCAGCATCTCTATTGCCTCAAATTTCCTCTTCATCTTTGACAAAACTATTTCTCATTCACTACCGTGAATGATATTGCATATAAGTTCACCACGTTTTTTTCTTTATTTCAAACGGAATTTTCCTATTTCTTGATACTTTGTTTAGCTTCTGGAAGACATTTTTCTCTATCCCAACGTGCCTTCGGATTTCGATGTCAAATTCCCCGCCATTTGTTATAGTAGTTTCTTGATTTTTATTTCTTCCGCTTGTAGTTCGCATCTTAGACCATCCTTCATACTACACCAATGTATTATCACTAGAAACCTTCAGAAAAGCCAACTTAATTTTAAACAAGCAATCCTCTTTTATGTACCATATACCTTCAGGACTTGGGCGATCATGACTCTCCACACGTCTCTTGTAACTCCGAGCAACTTTTAACTTCTTACCATCTTTTTATTTTTTGCAGGATTTTTTTTTTGTTGTTTTATTATTTTCATCTGTTTTTGTTTTGAAAATTTCCTATTTTGCATTGTTTTTTATATGCATCATCTTTTTCATATTTTCATACATTGCATATTTTTACGATTTATTTTTTCATCATTTTAACGCCTGTATCTTTTAAATATGTCTGTCTTGTAAATGTATCTAACCTTCGTAATTTTTCATTTATTTTTCATCTTTTTAATATTTTGCTTTGCTTCGTTTTTTTATCTTTTTTCATTTTTTACGTTTTCATCTTTTTCCTTTTACCTTTTTCATATCTGTACATTGTTTAAATCTTTTGCAAATTTTAAATTTAAATTTAAATTTTTTTTTTTTCGTTATTTTTCATCTTTCTCATATTTTCGCATTTTTTAAATATGTTTTCATTTTTTTTTCTTTTTTAAGTTTTCCATATTTTTTTATTTGTTGGCGTTTTAAATATTTCATCTTTTTATCTTTTTGTGTTTTTCATCTTTTTATGATCTGTTGTTGTATAAGTTATTTATCCTTTTTTTTTTGTTTCCATTCATTCATTTATTTTTATGCTATGTCTTTTTCATCATTTTACTGTTTGCATCTTTTACAATTTTTTCCCATATTTTCTATTTTTTTAATTATTTTTTTTTTTCTCTATTCACCTTTTTTTTCATTTTTGAACGGCCAAATGAGTTGAAGGATAGCGTCCCAACCATGAAACTCGATCTCAAAGTTCGATTAATCAAGTGGGTGTCTTCTTGATATCGGTCCGGGGAAACTTGTTCTAGAGTTGTGTAGTGTTCATAAGTCTATGAAAACTACACCATGAGTTGAGCCAAACTTTGTGAGTGAAACTATAAAGATGAAACTGTTCGGGTGCCATTGCATTTACAAGTCCTCACCTATTAGCTAAGGGAAACTCTTTTTAGTTGGTACCCTATGTAGTTTTGGCTTCTCGATGAAAACACCTTTCAAAGGCTGACTGGCCAGATTGACAGCTTGCCTGTTGGAGTGTGCCACCTATATCAAATAAAAATAAAATAAAAAACAAACACAGACAACTGTTTTTGTAATAAAAAGGAATAAAAACTTTATAAAGTCTTCTGCATGCTATCAGTTATTCAAGTTCAATATGAGAGGACATTTTTGAAGCTCAACATCGAAATTCGTTATGTGAGGAGAATTTGTAATCATGCATGTTGTTATCTATTGAAAAAGAATTGCTAGATGAATTAGATGTAGAAGCAATCCTTTTCAAGTTCACCAATTTCATCCATCTTTTTTATGTTGCATCTTCTTCATCTTTTCTTCTATTCCTTTACATCTTTTACACCTTTTCATTTTTTTTCTCTTTTTTTTTTCATCTTTTAAATTCTATCTCTTTTTGTCTTTTGCAGAGCCTTCCCCAGCTTGTTGGTCGCCAGACTTCCACTATGTTACGGGCCTGTTACCGCCTCCGTCACTTTCTGCGACTGAAATGCCGGACGTGTCATATCATACTCCTATTTGTGTTGCTCTCCGGCTCGCAGATTTGGATATGGCTTCGGCGGCAGCAGCAGCATCAACCCGTCACCGTGATGGATCAAGACTTCGGCCTGGAAGAGCCGAGGCACGGGCGCGAGCGAATGGCCGTGCACATCGCTGGCGCCGATGCCTTCAACTACCAGACGCGCCCCATCAACTGTAATCAAATTTATCGCTCCGACAAGGCCGAGATTATCCGAACCTCAAAGATCGGAACCAACTCCAAGTTTTATCGTAAGATCTTTCTCCAGGAATTCAAAAACTGCAAATCCCTCTTGGAGAAATCGAAGTATATACTCAATGTTAGTCAAGAGGAGAAAACGTTTCCGATCGCCTTTAGCATCTTGCTTTACAAGGACTTTTTCCAAGTGGAGAGACTCCTTCGGGCTATCTACCGGCCGCACAACATCTACTGCCTGCATACTGACGCTAAATCTTCACGTAGTCTACAGGATAACATCCGCCGTTTGACCACCTGCTTTGACAATGTATTCGTTGCTTCCAAGCTCGAAGATGTCGTCTACGCTAGCTATTCCAGACTTCAAGCTGACTTCAACTGTATGGTCGAGCTGTTACGGTCCAACGTCAGCTGGAAGTACTTCATCAACCTACCCAGCCAAGCCTACCCGCTCAAGACCAACGCAGAGATTGTGAAAATCCTCAAGATTTACAATGGCTCCAATGACATTGAGGGCATTACCGGCACGCGCATGCTGCCCGAGCGATACCAGTACAGTTATCATGTGGTTACGTCAAATAATAAAAGGGTCATTGAAAACACGTACAGAAAAAAGACTCCACCGCCACACAATATTCAGATTGTAAAAGGAAGTGCCTACGGCGTTTTCAGCCGGGCATTCGTTCAATTTGTTATGACAGACGGACGCGTTCAGGACTTCAAAAAGTGGCTTGAAGACACCAACAGCCCGGATGAATATATATGGGCCACGTTAAACCATCTTAAATACAACGGACACTTAAATGCACCTGGTGGATATAGAGGTAAGTATAATGTCTACATCTATGCATACATAAAACAGAGTCTGTGTGTCTGTCTGTGTGATACCTTTTCACTCGAGATCCAGCCAACCGATTTGGGCCAAACTCGCTACATACATTGTATAATGTAAGAGATAGGTTTTCAGAGTAAAAAATCGATAATTTTTTAAAAATTAATAATCGATAAAACCGATCAAAAATCAATAAAGTCAACGTTTTCCTCCAATTTTGTTCAAACTCGGTATATAGGTTACTTACATTATGACGAGCTCAACGATTCCTCATTTTTATTTCTATGCCACTGCGTTTAGCGAAAATCCGCAAAAACGAAAAGTCGATTTCGACATAAATTGATTTCAACACAATTTTAAAATTAAAAACTCCCTCAATTTTCAAGCAATCTAATACAAACTTCACTCAATTTTCGCCAACAATAAGTTGATTGTTTAACAGTCATTTAATTTGATAATTAAGACCACCCATATAGTGAAAATGCGCGTAAATATCGAAAAATGCCGATTTTTACTGGTTTCTTTCGTATTTTTCGTTGATCTTTCAACCAATTTTCATCAAACTTAATAATTGCTTTATAAATACATCCTCTCTTACATCCCTGGTAGCACACTGACAAATTTAATTTCAAACGATCCAAAATAACTGTGGCCTGAAGTGGGTCTTCATGTGGCTTGTTTTACCCCTTCATGCCATCGGCTAAATCCGACTGAATAAATACAGACTACTTCTGTTATATCAGTAACTGCATTAATTCAAAAGGTTTTTTTAATGAAAGTACTTTAAACTGAAGAAGATACACTCTGTTACATCTAAACATGATACTGTTTTTGCTCCATTCTAATTGAACGGTTTTTTAATCGGCCAGCTGTGTATATATAGAGAAAATGGTAAATAAAAGGACACTTAGCAAAAAGAGACAGCTAAAATATCTAAGGTGCATATTAAGAAAAGGCTTGGAAAATTGACACTCACAAGACATATTGAAGGCAAGAGGGACACAGGAAAGCAGCACTACCTAACGAGCTAGTGTAAATGATTGGCAAAACAAGGAGTAGGAAAGATAGCAAAAAGAAAAATTACTAAGTGCTAAAAAGGAAGTTGTGGAGAACCATAATCCCTCACGTCCTGAAGTGGCCAGGCACCTAAAAGAAGATATCATTAGTTTTGGTAAAATGGAGGTTTATACTTAACATCGGAAAAAGACAGTTGAAATTTCTAGGGCACATATTGAGGAAAGAGGGCTTGGAAAATTGGCACTCACATGGCATAATGAAGGCAAGAGAGAGAGAAAAACAGTGCATAACCTACCTAACGAGCTTGTATAATTGGTTGGCATACCAGTGATTAGGAGAGATAGAAAAAAACGAACTTCACTAAGAGCTAAAAAGGACAGGACATTGTAGAGAGCTTTGATCGTCCACGTCCTAATGAAGGGACAGGCCACTGTTGTGGTAAAGAAAAGAAAAAAAATTGTTAATTTGTAGTAGCAATAAACGCCTGCAATAGATTTCTTCTGTCTCTAGACCGCGACACTTGTAGCCATATCACAGTTCAAACGATAGTCCGTCCTAACAGTCCAACAGACAACGTAAAAACGACAAAATGGAGTCACATATCCAACCTTCACTTCTCACCAGCAAAAACGAGTGTTCGTCCGGCAAGCTCAGAAAAGTCCCTCGTAAGCGAAAAACAACGGCTTTTATTTACGGAACGACTTTTCTGATTGGCCACGCCATTCAGGGAAGGAAAGAACATTAGCATAGATTCTGATACTTAAAGTAGCAGATTCTTGCTAAATACTTTCGGTCATTTTTTTCTTCGGCTGATGCACAATATTCACCCCCGCCTTCAGTTAAATTGTTCCCTAGCAGAAAAAGAATTTGACAAAAAACTGCATATACAACATCCCATGCAAATGTAAATGAGAATAAAAAGTTAGCCATCAGATACAAATGCCAATGTGAGGAGTGTTGTAGGAAAGAAAAGAAAGAAAAACTGTAAACTTATAGTAGCAATAAACGCCTGCAATAGGTTTCTTCTGTCTCCCGTCCGCAACACTTGTAGCTAAATCACAGTTCAGGCGATAGTCTGTCGTAACAGTTCAACAGGCAACGTAGAAACGACAAAATGGGGTCACAAATCAAACCTTCACTTCTCACCAGCAAAAAACTAATGTTTGTCCACCAAGCTCAGAAAAATCCTACCCTCGTAAGTGAAAAACAATGGCTTTTATTCACAAAGTGATTTTTCTGATTGGCCACACCATTCAGAGGAGGATAGAACATTAACATAGATTCTGATACTTAAAGTTGCAGATTTTTGCTAACTATTTTCGATCGGCAGATCGCACACAAAACACAAACTCTTTTTTTGAGGTAGGTGATTATCTCTTTCACTGCAGGCACATAGAATAAGTAAAGGGTGACCATTGAAAGACAGATTGATTTAAAACAAAAATAACTTTTACAAACACACGTTTTTCTTAATTTTTCGACCATCTGAATGTTGTATGGAAACATTTTTAAATGCAGTTTCAGAATCATCTAAAACCATATTCTGGCGATGCCTAGCTGAGCAGAGCGACGTCAGATAGAAGCTGACGGATCCTCAAGGATTCTCTGCCGTACAACTTCCACCGCTGCGTCAGTGCGCTTAGGACCTCTTCCCGAAAGATCGCCGACTGATCCAGTTCTTTCAAACAGGGCGATTATGTACCGAGCCAAAATGTTGCCGGTATTTTCTCTCTGAATTTGATAAATTGATCTTTCATTGGAATAGAAAAACTCGATGAGTTTTACTCGTTGCAGGATATCATACGTAGCCATTTTAATCTCAAAAGGTTGGTCTATAAACTTAAAAAAGAAAAAAAGATTGAAAACGAATACGTCATGACTTTTTCAAAGCTTCAGTTTTCAGTGGCTACCCTGTTTTATGCCTATATATATTTTATACGTATGTAAGTATCATGCTTAGAGGCAAGTATAAACTCCGTAGGTTTTATAGAATGTCTATGTATTTTATATAGAGTTAAGTATAATGTTTATAATTTCTTAAGAGTTCGAATTTTGCTCGTACCACTGAAATCCTTTTTGCATTATTAGGGTGTTCGGAAAGTAATTACGTATTTAAGTAAGAAAAAAAAAGAAAAAAAAACAGAAAGAGATGAGGGGTTTTGTTTATTGCAAGATGAAACGTAGTCACTGAGATGAGATCCAAATATTAAATTCGGAACATTTCTATCGTTAAAGAGATTTAGACAAGAGTAACATATAACGAGTTTTTAAAACGGTTCACAAGATAGACAAATGTCGATTTTAGTGTAGTGCTATTTTCTTTGCTCAGCAGAGAAGAAATTGGAGAATAAGAATACCTTCTGCATAAACATGGAATCATCTGTGTTACACGAGTTACTGTGAATGGGTATCATACTGTGTGATTCATTTTAGTGGGAAAGAATCGAGTCTGTCAGTATATTATTTTTGCATTCTGCTACCACTTTTCTATCAATGTCAATTTTTGTGCAATTCTGTGCAAAACGTGGATCACAGAGCCTTGATATTTTTCTCACTTCTCATTCGTCAGTTAATATTTAAATCATGTTCTCAACTACGTCCGAATAACATCGTCCTAGTTCCTGACCTGACGAAAATAAATTTCGGCCAATAATCAGAAATGCTTTTCGGAACCTGTCACGTGACTAGAAAACAAATAAATACAATGTACAAGTGAACCTCGCCAGTGAGAATTCACGAACGACTTGCATTAACTAAACTAGTTCACGGCGTTTGTGTTTGTATCAGTACTGCAGTGAAGTACAAAGTTAGAATTTTAAGTTCTTCAACACAAAATAAATTTCATTGTAATTCAAGTTAAAACATTCAACTCAACTACTCACTAACCAACTTCTTCTAGAACTTACTGAAAACTATTCAATCACAGTAGTGAATCTTGAGGAAACTTAATTACAAACATTACAGAACATTACAAGCATCAACATATTACGAATATTCAACTAAAAGCAACGGAAGCTAATTAAACATTACGTAACATTCACTCCTTCCACTCTTCTGAAGTTAAATGTTTATCAACATATTCTCAGCTTTACAGAATTTTTTCAACTCTCTCACAATGAACATTTTGAGCGCCAAGTTCATTCGACTTTCTATGAGCTCAGATAAAAAGATTTTCTTAGTAAAGACATTAATTCCAGTCAAAGGGAAGTAACTCCTATTAATTATGCTTGTATATCATTAACATACATAAATATAGATATTGTTGTTGTTTTTTGTGGGTTTTTTTTTTTTTGCTTTTTGCTCGCTTACACATTTGCAAAAGAAAAAATGTACGGATTGATGGAGGCAGACAATACCGCTAGATTCTCATTACCAATTTATGTTGGCTATTTATTTACAAAAGCAAATAGAGAGTTAGAACTCTTGAAGAAGGTCGTAGAATGGATCGGCTGAAAGGTTTTAGCACCAACAAAAGCAGCGCAAAGAATGTATTTAATTAAAGATAAATATGTTGCCTTATTACTTTTGTTTGCACGTCGATTAATTCATACTGCCTAAGAAATCTGTTCGTAAAGTGTCCTACCTAAATAAGTGGCGCCTTTGCCCTCTTCAAATATTAACGAAAAAATGTAGCATGTGATTCCTACCAGGAAATGCGATATAGTCTTTGTTCTAAGTGGAGTTGATCTGTGGTGACACTCCCAGATCCCTGGAAAATACGAAAACTTAAGGAATCAGCTCATGTGCTAGACCATAAAGATCTCCTAAGTCGGCCAAGCATGGGAATGAATACAATAGAAAAACAACAATAACAGCTGAGTAAAAAATATGAGCACTAGTAAAAAATTGAATACTGAGACATTAGGTTTATGTCCCAAAGATTCATTCACTAGTGGGCCTAAGCGGATAAAAGTCTGCGCAGCCTGTTCTCGGGATATACAAAATGGAAGAAATTATCTTCGTCTGCATTAGCGTAAATCTCGAATTAAGTTGATTGTGGGAAATCACTGTAACTATAACACAGAGATCCTTATGTTAATGTTCGTTTCCTTATAAGGAAACACTCGACATTCATTTGCCAAGCAGCCAGGGAAACATTTGGTTGAAATTTATAAATTGGAGCCTTAATGACCATCAGTATACTTTAGAATAAAATTGAAGACATGACATACATTGTCAAAAAATTTAAAAAAATAAATAAAAACAATCTGCTATGATTAATCTTATTTCTTGCAAGGGGGTAACATCTTTTCAATGCATGTTTAATTTTGTAAGATTATTTCGTAAAAAATACAGCTAATTATAATTTTATCCTGAAATAATGTCATTCTCTTGAATCTAAAAATATATAAAATATTGTAGCCTATGTCTGTCTGTTATCAAACTCCTCCTAGGGTTTTGGAGATAAACCCCATAACCATATATATTCTAAAACTACATTACCCAGGGTACTTAGATAAGTATATTTCATTTTGATCAAGGGGGTCACCAAGGAGGGCACATACCACTACTGAAATTTTTCCCCTTTGATTTAAATTAAATTTAAATTTGAACAAAGGAATGACTCCTATCCAAAATATAGAAGGAGAATCCAGGAGATAGAGGTCACATCAGCAAGATCAAAATGAGACAATATGGGCGTCAACTTGAGCAAGAAATCACTAATCATTCGGTAGTGCATCACAATACATATTTGTTGCGACAATTTAACTGTTATATCAATGGTGAAACCTAATCATCACTCCATTCAATCAAATATTGCATCAAATACATATCAAAGGAGTCAGATCAAGCCGTTTTTGCACAAACCTCCCACTGAAAATTATTTCCCTTTGATTTAAATTAAATTTAAATTTGAACAAAGGAATGACTCCTATCCAAAATATAGATGGAGAAAGCCAGAAGATGGATGTCACATCGGCAAGATCATTGAGTAATATTCAAATGCTTCATTTTTCTATTGAAGTTATAACAATGATTTAAAACCAGTCATCATTTTTTTAGAAAAAATGTATGCCACGCAGCAAGGCGCGGGTAATTTGGCTAGTTAATTATAAAGTTTGAATTTTGGCATTAAATAAAACATACAGGTGTTGAGATGTTGTTAAATAAAAACAACACACCATCCTTAACTAAACCTGGACACTCGCTGGTTAAAGAGATTTCAATTGGAAATCTGAAACATCATTTGAAATTAGATGCTTTCCTCTTACTGTTTCGCGCCTTTTTTGTTACTTCGGCTCACAAATCATGCGGGTATATAGCACGCACGACCTCGCTGAAAAGTGGGGCATGGTAATATTTTGGTGGGGCGTGCATAGGATGTGCACTCTTCGGCTTACTATACCAACAGAATAAGGGGGCAATTCGAGAATGAGTTACTTGTTTTCTAGTGTGTCTGAGTGAGAGTGTTAACGTTAATGCGTGTTAATGCATACGATGTATATACAGTATGCATACATAAAAAAATATTTTGTGTGTATGTACATACATGTGTAATTGGCATACAGAGTATTTCCCGTCTCATTACACTCGCGTGTCTCGGTCAACAAAGAAGAGGGCGTAATGCATGTCGCTGGAAGAGCCCATGTTTTCTCGGTCAATCAGGGCGTGCGAGCATTCAGTTTGCTTCCTTCACGTGAATTGCAGTAAAATTTTGCATATTGTAAGAATTAAATATTACAGGCCGGGGGGGGGGCACCAGACTTTTAGAAATACCAAAAGGGGGCATAGTCCAAAATCTGTTAGGAACCACTATTTTTATGGCATCTTTGAAGCAATGATGCAGAATAAACGCCAATTCACCGCTGATCACTTGCCATTTGTCCTCAATGACTGTCGCTTATTTCATCGACAATGTACTCTTGATGTTTTCTTCAAGATGCGAGATTCTTCTTCAGGACGTGTGCGATGATGTCTCTCCACAACTTCCTCAACTTTGTGACTTTTAAGTTTTGTCTTTATGCTATATCTCCTAATCCCTGTTGACAATTGGCGTAAAACGACCTTCCCTCCATGATTTGCTATATGAACCAAATCAACACAAATTTTTTTATCATTGCACCTCAAGCAAAACAATAAATATGATAATATAATTTTCTAAAGAAGTAAGGGATTTATTTATTTACCGGATTACCGAGAAACTTTATATGATTCCTTGAAATTATCATATCTGCTCAGTTTCATATACCAACGTAAACAAAGCAATTTTCTAAAGAAGTAATGAATTTTGTATTTATTAATCCGAGAAACCTTTATATGATTCCTTGAAACTATCATATCTGCTTAATTTCGTATCCAAACGTAAACAAAGCAATTTTCTAAAGAAGTGATGGATTTTGTATTTATTAATCCGAGAAACTTTTATATGATTCTATATGATATTAAGTAATTTTCTAAAGAAGTAATGGATTTTTATTCATTACTCTGACTAATTTTATCGTTTTAAACGTCATTTTTAGTGAATGCTCATATTTGAGTACACACTCCGTTTATTTATTAAACAGTCCGGTAGACACAAAGAACGCACACACTCAATTAAGCTGAAAAATCGAATCATCCTTGATAATGGCTAAAGGTATAGCCGAAAGCGCTCGGAAATATAAAACATTTGGACAGTTCTTACACACACTTTGACCAGAAAAGAAAGCTCTTGTTCGAACACAAGAAAAATTAAATGAAAAGCTTAACAGTAGTACCTTGTCTGTCGTTTTTAATGAAACATACATAAAGGAAGGATTGCTGCCTAAATATACAAAAATAAATATACCGATATTATTTATAGAAAAGGCACAGGAGAGCTACGTTACGACAGTGGAAAGTATCTGAAGCCAAGATGCCAAGTCGGAACGAAAAGCATTGCAAATTCTTTTTTTGGATTTTATCAAGAATCTGTAAATGTATAACAGGTACACCAAATCACGTGTGGCGGCAATATTCAAAACAATGATATGAGTGCGCCCTCAGATAAAACATATTTGTTTAAGAACATGTCAAAATAAGCAAACGTAGGCATATCGAAATTGAATATGTGTCACCTTCAAATTAATGCCATACCAATAATAATTTGTGCTCTGAGTACTATAAAAAAATACAGATATATACAAGCTTTTTAACAAGAGCCCGGCTGGTCCAAGAGATTGTTATTTTAACTGCATGTGTACAACTTGTTTATCTACTCCAGCGTATTTATATTTTCTTTACGCTGATAATCAACGTAAAGAAAATATAATCACTGTACATATTAAGTATCATTAAAATCAGAATTCGTGCAAACAGAACACGTATACCATATCTTTTTTAATCATTCAGTCGACAAGTAAGGCAATAAAGCCACTTAGACACAAGAAGGAAATTACTGGAAAGTAATTGAAAACTCACCTGAAGCGAGCTGAATGTGTAATGCTCCTCATGCCAATACACTTCCACCGAGCTTCTCTACGGCATATGACTTCACTGAATTTGATGTGTTCCTCTCGAATTTATATTTAAACTGGGGTCATCAGGAGAGAATGTGAACCGTTTCGGGGCCTTCCTCTCAAGGGGTTACGAAGTGTCAGAGAATATGAGAAAAAGAAAAACATTATTAAGGAGAGAGAACAATAAAAAAAATAAGAATTAAGAAGACAAAAGTTAACGATTGACATTGCTATTAAATTTTTGAAGATCAAACTTCACTGGAAAGCAAGAGACCGGAAGTCATCTCATAAGTGAGAGGTTCGAGAGAAGAAACTGATAGCTTATGGTCACATCTAGCAATTTCAACTGTAAAAAAAGATTAGACCTAACTGCCAATTTAGTACTGCGCTTAAATTCGTAGAGGTAACAAAGAGGAGAGCTCATCAGAACAATTACCATGAAAATATTTATAGAAAAAAAAACAGAGGGGAGTTACGTTATGGCGATGGAAAAATGACTGAACTCAAGATGCCACGTCAGGACCAATAGTATTGCAGATTCTTTTTGGGATTTAATCAAGAATAATCTCTAAATACATAGGATTAGCACCAGACCAGATACGACAGCAGTATTCCGTGTACGGACGAATGGTAAACCTATAAAAGTGTAAGATAGATTATGGCGAATAAAATTGGTAGGTAATTGTGTGCGTGTTTCTTTTCTCTTTAATACTTTTTTTTGTATCTTTTAAATTAATTTTATTTGGTTATATTTCAGGTGACCCAGAAGATAAGCCGTGGCTTGCTACGTATGCTACCTGGAAAGGGGATGCTCCTTGTCACGGCAAGTGGGTGCGAAGTATCTGTGTGTTTGGTGTGGGCGACGTGCCCAGCCTCCTGAACAAGAGGCAACTGTTTGCTAACAAATTTTACCTGGACTACCAGCCAGCCGCCATCCACTGTATGGAGGAGTATTATTTTCGAAAAGTTCGCAGCAAAATGTCCCTTGACACGGAATATTACAAAAATCTACCGTTTGTCAATTCATGAAACAAATCAAAACCCACCCAAAAAATGGTGGGAACTGGGTGGGGTGGGGGAGTTATTTATAAGTAAGAAAGAATGGTCGATAGAAGAGTAAAAGGAAAAATTTTAAGCAAACTTGAAAGCGAAAGTGAATATGGTAGTACGCATGTGTACGATATGACGTGAATTTGTGTACACACAGGCAAGAATCATTATACACAACGTGTATTTGCTTACTTTATAATATATGAAGATATATTTTTTCGTTTTTTTTTTTTTTTTTTTTTTCTGATGAGAAATTCTGACAAGTACAGTGGATTAAAAAAAAAAAAAAAAGAAGAAAAAACAATTTCAGAATAAATTTTTGAAAGACCCAAACAGAAATATGAAATGTTACATATCAATAAACAAATGTTCCATTGATTCAAATGGCTCACATAAACGCGAAAAATCATGGGAAATTTTATCTAGCAAACTTTTATATTTACATATGCCGTAGAATATCCAATATATATATATATATATATATATATATATATATATATATATGCACACACAATATAAACTATTATTTAATTGAAATGTAACTTTTAGTTACGCGTATACTTATTACGTTTTTAATTTTATATATATATATATATATATATATATATATATATAATGATAATGTTAGATTTTATTATGCAAATCAATGTTTTCACGATGACATTGATAGTAACCAACCAATGTTAGTACAACTTTCAGAATATACTTAAGTTTATATGAGCAATATATCAAGTGAATTTCAGCTTATATATTAAAAATTAAATTAATTAAAATTATTAATTTTCAAAAAATTATTAAAATATTCAAAATAACTTATTACGGGCGTCTCAGGTTTTATTATACAAACAAAGTGTAACGTAAATTTGTATTTATCAATAAATTCCAAATATTAGCCACCACCGAAACATATAACTGAATAAATTATTATTTTATTATTTAACATGTTCATAACCTCCATCAGTCTTTAACCCATTAAGCGTATTAAAATTCGACCCTTTTTGGGATTAACATAACATGTAGTAGTTTTTATTGCTTTCCACACATCTTTATTTCAATATCGTTTCTCATTCAAATACACCCTTGTGCAAATGAATTGAAACAACCGCTTTAGTTTCTTTTCTTTCACCATACGGTCAGTTTCAGACCCACTGGAGTGACAGGGTGTAATTTATTTCTATTTTTTCCTCAGATTAAGTCATTTGCAGTGGTCTGCAATAAATTGAATCTATTTTCGGGGTGTATGATGAAGTTTGATTTGTCTTGAAAGATATTGTGTCATTCGTAATTGCATCAGATTTTTTATCACATCCAGACACTATTGTCTCGACTGTCGATTAGTTCTCCTACGGCCATTGTCTGCGATTAACTTTACTCCAAGGAAGCGTATGAAACCCACTGGCAAGCCTTACCAGTGAGCAAATCAAACTACTATAGACTGGCCAGGAAACTCTCTTGATTTAAATCCAATCGAGAATCGGTGGTCAATCTTCAAGGAACGACTTCGTGGAATGGACATACGAACTACTAACATGTGCACTGGGTCATGTTTCATTGGGAAATATGAAAAAATGTAAATAATAATGAAATTATTCATTTTGTTTCAATTAATTTGCACAAGGATGTATATTTATGAGAATTAATGTATTTTATTTTTTAATCCGACATATTTTTTACTAATTCAAAGGTTTGTTTTTTGTTGCTTTTTTTTTTTTTTGTTTTTTTGTTTTTTGTAGTGGATACACATATTTGAGTAGAGACAACGTTTTATTTTAAACACTATTTGTTTTGTCTACCGGCCTGTCAGTCGAGAAAACTTATTAAATAAAATGAACCCTCAGGGAAGATTCGAACTTGTGTCCCCCATTGCAAGAGAAACCACCGCCTGATCCGCCATACTTTAATTATGTGCGAATCCTGCTGGAAGGCAAACCAAAATCTGTGGCCAATCTGCAAGGAACGACTTCGTGGAATGAACATACGAAGTACTAATATGTGCACTGTGACATTTTTCACTGGAAAACTACAAAACAAAAAGTAAATAATAACGGAATTATTCGTTTTCTTTCAATTTGCACAAGGGTGTATACATCTCTTTTAATAATGGAGCGCATGAGTTGTATTGGATTAATATCTGGAGTGGCTAGGGGTCACTCCATTAGTTTTATGTCTTTGGGACCATTTTGGTAAATGGGCATTAGTCAAAGAATGTAAAGGTGTATTGCCTTGCAATAATATACTGTAATAGTTATAGTCACAATTTCCTTATAAGAAAACATTCGGTATTCACTAAGCGAACAACTAATTCTACCCGAGTTACGCTTCTTTTTTTTTCTTTTTTTTTTCTCTCTCTCTCTCTCTCTCTCTCTCTCTCTCTCTCTCTCTCTCTCTCGGGCTAAAGTGTGTTATCAGTTCTCATCTGTAATGGTGATGATAATATTATACGTTTTCCCTATAAGGAAATAATATAAGTTACGCTTCTTTTTTTTTTTTTTTTTTTTTTTTTTGCTGTCTCCTATCGAGTTGGGATCAAAGTGTAGTATCTGCCTTCGGGCAAACATTTAAAAAGCATGTAAATCTACATTTTATACCTCGATTGTACTTGGGCCCGCGGATTCCAAACCTGCGACAGCACCTCCCTCATTACAAAAAAAGACGAGGGTCGGTGGAAATTTGGTTGCTGGCAATTTTGGGCCTTGGCCTATATGCACACGCTTGAGCTCCCCACTTTAAACTGACCTTGTGCCAGCCATATCCCGTCAGCGTATCGGGATGGGGGACAAATAAATTCTACATGTATTATTTGTTCTCTATATATCGGATGGTAATTTTTATATTATCCGTTTTCTTTATAAAGAAACTTTCATTGACCGAGCAGCCTGTGTTAATATCGACTGAAGTTTATAAAATCTTTCCCTTAAAACAATTTTTTTTCAAGAAATTTGATTTCTTAAGTCCACTAACTCTCATTGTTCTTTCTCGTGTTGATGGGGGTTTCCTTCCAAACCTTTTGTTCGAAGTAGTGCGGAAAGCCAACATCTTTATTACGTCATTATCTTCTCTTCGAGTTACATGTGCAGTACATTTTGGTTACTGCCTTTGTTACAATCATTTATTCGTGATTCTGTAGCGCCAGTTCACTATAGTCTTCTCTAAAATATACAGGCTTCTAAAGTTTTGTTTTGTGACTATTTATATACGTATGCGAATGCTCATGTCAATTATTTATCTGTTATTTGATTTATTTTTGGGTGGCTACTTTAAAGATTCCATTTCGCAGACTTTCCTGTTGTTCGTAAAAAATACACAACATTTAAGACTGAGATAAGAATTATTAACCAACCTTTTCTATGGAGAAATGTATTTCTCCTGATCACAGATGAGTTCTATCGTATCACATCATCATTCTATAAATTTACACTGACTTAATGGACTTTTGAGTTCACAAATTTATTACAAACCATGACAATCTTTCTATATCCGAAATTAAAAAAATATAAGTAATACTGTTGTTATATATATATATATATATATATATATATATATATATGAAGAAAAATATACGGAAAAACAAACAAAAATCCTAATATGCAATTATGCTGTTTTAATGTTAATATAATGTCAACGTCGGATGTTTCCGTCTAATAGACCATCTTCAGGACACATTCATAAAACATAATTAACATTAGACTATATTCAATTCAACATGAAAAAGACGATGGACACAAGAGCAAGACTAATCCAAACAGATAACTGAAATTTTTTATAAGATCAGCGTTCCGTTTTAATATGATCACGTCGTCGTCACGTGGGCGATGTTGTGAAAACGTATTCGAAGATGATTTCAAAATATTAAATAAGCTCGATTGAACGATTTTCTCATATAAACAGTTCGTTAAGAAATCTTTTCTGTTCTTATAGGAATACGCGGAGATCAATAGATTCTTATGTTTCGTATAAGCGTGAAGTCTTCCATGATATAAAGTAAATCAAAGATGATTTCAAAATTAGTAATCATTTCCGTTCTTACAGGAGCATGCGGAGAATATAGTCTAATGTTAATTATGTTTTATGAATATGTCCTGAAGATGGTCTATTAGACGGAAACGTCCGACGTTGACATTATATTAACATTGAAACAGCATAATTGCATATTAGGATTTTTGTTTGTTTTTCCGTATATTTTTCTTCATACTGTCGGATCTATATCCATATATTTGCACACACACACACACACACACACACACACATATATATATATATACATGTTTTATGCTACAAAACTTTATAACTGCCATAAAAAGACACAAATTGTTTTTATTGCCTTTCATGATGATAATAGATATATATATAAACTGAAAAACAGGCTACCTAACCGAGAGGACCACTTAAAGACTGGATGATAGAATAAAGCAACACGTTCCAACGAAGATCTGAAACCTTAAGTAGACTCCCGCAGTCATTCTGACCAATACGTATGGGTCTGCCATCGCAGAACACCTAATAAATAGCCATAATTGTGCTGCTAGTTTCCAGTGCGGTCTCACTTACTATTCTTAGCAAGTCCCACTCGAATTACCACTTAAAAGTGTTGGAGACCATTTATATTTTATCGTTGAGGCCCTCTCTGTGTAAACAGAAAGACTTCGTATTCGGCCTCCAACTAATTTCCATCTAAACAATTTTTGCTTTGTTTGTTCTTCTCCAATGCATATTGTCCTTTTTTTTTTAGTGATAATTCAGTTTATTAACCTCGATTTAGTTCTGTTAAACGGGGTTTGAAACCAATTAGCTAGCCTGTTTTTCAATTTGACTTTATGTAATATATATATATATATATATATATATATATATCCAAGTAGAATTCAATGTCCAGTACAGAGTAAGAACATAAAGGCTTAAACACTAATATTCCATGGTTATAATCTATTATATTGTAATCGTAATTACGATCCAATTCATCAGACCTACAAATACAAATATATTAGTGTTTGAGTCTTTTCATATATATATATATATATCAACTTTACTTGATCGGCGACACACGTCTTGGACGAGATTGTAGCAAGCATCTAACAACGGTTTCTCCTGCCAAGGGCTACGCCGGTTCGAATCATACTGAAGGAGCGCGTATTTTTCTTTAATAAGAATTCTCGAAGATGAAAATAAATAAATATACTGTTTAATAAATAAACGAAGCGTCTACTGATATATGTGTATCTACTAAAATAACAGTTAAATAATATATGTACGCGTATTGATATACGTAAAATAATATAATTTATAATTTATATTATGCCAAAGTGAGCATAATTTTGTCAATAAAGTGCTCAGTAGTTATTATAATTATTAAAATAAATATATACATTATATAAAACATTCGAGATATTTCGCTTCCAATATTTCATACAAGAATATTGTATTAATTATTTTACGAATATCTAATATTTAAATATTCTGCGAATAATTAATACAATATTCTTGTTTGGAACCTGACAAGCGAAATATCGCGTCACTTTGAATTGGTCTCTGATAAGTTGATAATTTTTAAACATTTTATATATATATATATATATATATATATATATATATATATATATATATAATTATATTCAGTTATATATATATATATATATATATATATATATATATATAATAAATATAAAATAAATAAAGAGTTTCTATACGGAACAGCCATTAGAATAAACAAATAAATAAAGAGATTAACAGATAGATAACAATAAAACAAAATTTCTTCACCTGTAAACTAACTAGACGGTGACCGCCACCATTAGCTTTGAAATAGATACCCAACTCTACCTTGGCATAACCTTTCCGAAGGTGACGAATCTGTAGATAAGAATTAACTGTTTGACCACCTAACCAAGATGGCGGGCCTAGCCGTTTCCATAGTATTTAATGTTGCAATGGACCATACTTATAAACACGCGCAAACCACAAGATAGCTTATTTCTAAATTTTCTCTTGAAGATGAAACGGGACCCAACACTTGATTAAACTTAATTTTAATAATTATATTGATGGTTTCGGCTCTCGTTTTTGAAACATGAGAACTCTTATGTAGCAAAGGAATCATTATTTTTTTTAAATATTATATATATATATATATATATATATATATATATATATATATATATATAATATATTTCACCAGAGACCTTTTAAAGGACACTCGATCCTCAGACATCACTTCGAAAAATAAAATGAAAATTTACACTTTTGACGGGTAGTATTGAGTTTATGTAATTTAACAGAGAGGGTAGCGAGGAGTGGTGTGAGAGACATGATCGAGTTTAGAGAGGGTTTATCTTAATATTTCTTTCTATCATACCAGACATTGACCTATTTAATCGGTTAACTTAACGGAAATAATACATTGAAAGGGAAGGAAAGAATAGAGAAAAAGAAAAAAGAAAGAATATGTATTTAGCGTTTACAGAGGAAGAAAAGAGGTGGTATAGTTTTATCAATTTATGAAAAAAAAAACAGATTTTAACATTTGATAGTAATTTAAATGTTTATATATATATATATATATATATATATATAAACATAATTAAATAATTTATAATATCTGTCTGAATTTTTGGATTAAGGAGATATTATTTACATCTGAACGAATATCCTTAGCGCACTTGTTATTATCAGAACCTTTCGGTGGTTGTACCATACGGCCTTCTTCCCTGTCAGTTTGTCCAATATTGGGCACTTTCCCCATAAATATAGCAAATTTCAAACATATATATATATATATATATATATATATATATATATATATATAAGTGTGTGTGTGTGTGTGTGCGTGTGTGTGCATGTATATATTTTCAATATAATAAACAAATGTCGTGTTGCATAATAAAATCACACACCGTCATATAAATTATTATAAACGCGATATTACAAGCTGAGATTCAAATGCGATATTTTGCATATAAATCTAAGTGTATCATGAAAATTTTATCAACATCGGTTGGCTGATAGCAATTTTATTTTGAAAACATTGATTTGCATAATAAAGTCAGACATAGTGAATGTATGTGTGTCTGTATGCGGACACACAACGATAAAAATGTCTCACTCTCTTCTTATATATCTACCTAAATGTCTTTTTTCTATATCTACTTTATTACTTGTCTATCTTTCGATATCTATCTACCTATCTGTCTGTCTATCTATCTATCTATGTATCTATCTCTATATGTGTGTACATATATATATATATATATATATATATATATATATATATATATATATATGTATATATATCGAGAGAGAGAGAGAGAGAAAGAGTGAGTGAGTGAGGGGAGGAGGGAGGGAGGAAGGGAGAGAGAAAAACATAGAAAATCGACACAGGAATCAACACTAGTTGCTTGCTATA